ATTATGCATGTAGTAGTTAATCTAATTGAAATATGTGAATATCCATGTATAGAATAGTGATGCAAGATGTGAATTATGAATTGTGACCTAGGGTTCTTGAAGGCCTATGAATGAATAACCTATACATGACTATGAGAATTATGCATGTGCTTTATTGAAAAGCAAGGTTTCTATGTTTATGAAAGTAAGGTGATCATGTTTAGAATGCAATTATGTTATTATTGAAAGCTTATTCTCAATTAACACTTATGAATGATGGTGTTAGAATGTGAACAGTTTCTACAATGTAATGTTACATCTTAAATTGGTAAGCTTAGGGAATCCTTTTCTTTTATAGATGAATGTGATCTTGATTGAAGTACCTTTAATTGGTAGGCTTAGACATCCTCTTCTTGTTTCAATGAAAGTAATGTTGAATGATGTACCTTGAATTGGTAGGCTTAGACATCCTCTTCTTGTGTAACTAATGTATCTTCACTTAATGAACATGAAGCGATAGGCCAATGGCATTCCTTTCATAAATGACTAATGAATGTATTCTAAGGCTATGTCTTGAATCGATAACCTTATGAAATTCTTTTCATAATGAGCCAATGAACTAATGTAATGATGACTCTTGAATCGATAGGCTTATGGCATTCCTTTCCTAAAGAGTCAATGAACTAATGTAATGATGAATCTTGAATAGATAGGCTTATGGCGTTCCTTTCATGAGGATAGACTAAGCTATCTTAATAATGTACCATGAATCGATAAGATTATGGCATTCCTTTCATGTGTAATAATGTACCTTGGGTCGATAGGCCAATGGAATTCCTCTCAAGTATAATAATGTTAATGTGAATGAACTACTCTATGGGAAAGGAGGCTAAACACCAAGTGGATATGGTAACATGTAAGCTCTCCCCACGTTAGGCTTGGGTTTCAATGAACATCTCTCTTATCCCATAACTATGTGCCCACATAGGTCATTAGCTAGTGGATCCACCTAAGCTAAAATGTTATCGGTCCTACCTTAGGCAAGTAGACCACCTCTTTACGGTGTGGGGTTATGACACCGGATTCCATGTTAAGCTCACATGGTCTATGTCGGTTAATGCTTATTCCCATCATGTGAGATACGTACTATGGTTGCTTGAGAAGTTCTATGAAGTATGGGTGGTAGTTTGGGATGCCATCCATGCATTGCACGAGTAGGCTTTGAGAGGGCTTTGGTGTGATTCTCCAATGTCTTAATGTCTAATGTATGAAAGTGCTCTTAATGACGCTAATGAGAATGATGACTTAAATGCTTAATGTAATGATGCATGCTTACTTGGATTGTATTATGAGTTATTTTCCTTGTCATGACTTATGAAATGTATGTGTTCCTTATGTATGAGTATTGACTAAAGAGAATGAGCAAGGAAGAATGGTAAGTTCATCTAAGGTGACCTCAAAGTGGTACTTAGTAGGAATATTATTATGGGATGTTATTCTTACATTGCACAAGTATAGCTTAGGGTTACTTTAGGTCAAGGTTCTAATGTGATGAAATGACTTATATGTTGAATGTGATTGTATCTTATGCCTTTTATACTAAAGTTCATGATGTTTTCTCAAAATTGGCATATAGCATGGTTTTCAACCAAAATGTCCTTTTTAAGCATGGTTTTTGCATGGCTATAATACTTAGTACATTTTTGCGTGCTAACCCATATTTCTACATTTCTAGAAAAGTGTAGGGTTTGGAGACTTGATGTTCTATTCTTGGAAGATAGGTTTCTAAAGAGCAAGGAGTTGAAGATATGGTGTGTCCTCATAGTTTCGAGGACAAACCCACTTTTCCCTTAATGTCTTTTGTTTTATGTTTAGAGCTTTTGTATGGGCTATGTCCCAAAGTTTTATTCAAAGTGTTGTAGATGGTTTGAGACAAAGTATAGAAAAAGACTTCCGCTTGCTTTTATGAAAATGACTTCGATAGTATGGTTTTCAAGAAAAGTTTTAAATTCTACACTATTTTCCTATGCTCTTATGTTATGAATGCTATGAGGCTTGTATGAGGCTCTTCGGAGTCTTGTACGTCGCGTTATGTCCAGGATGTAGGCTCGGGTCATGACAATTACATTGCTGAACCACATTCCAGAATTAATCACTAATGAGGAAAATGTTGAATTGGGTCAATTCCAAATGATGAAGAAGTGAAGAGTGCAGTATTCAAGCTTAATGAGGATAGTGCAAGTGGGCCAAATGGACTTACAAGTAAATTTTATCAAGTTTGCTGGGACATTATTGGTAAAGATATTTGTAGAATGGTGCAGAAATTCTATCCAGGAAGTTCTTTACCTAAGTCCATTACTCACACTAATTTGATACTCATACCCAAAAAGGATAATATTCAGTCCTTTTCAGATATGAGACCTATTAGTCTGAGAAACTTCATTAATAAGATCCTCTCCAGGATAATTCATGACAGGCTGGAAAAGTTTCTTCCAAAGTTAATTTCTCCTAATCAGTGAGGTGTTGTTAAGGGCAGAAGTATTGTTGAAAATATACTACTGGCACGGGAGATTGTTTCAGGTATTACTAAGAGGGGAAAACCCAAAAATGTGATCATTAAGATAGATATGTCAAAGGCATATGATAGGGTTTCTTGGTTCTTTCTTATGAAAGTACTAAAAAAGATGAGATTCTCTTAAAGGGTGGTGGATTTAATTTGGTAACTCCTTGCTAACAATTACTACTCTTTCCTTCTTAATGGCCAATCTCATGGATTTTTTCATTCTACCAGGGATGTTAAACAAGGGGATCCCTTATCTCCAACTCTGTTTATCATCTCAGTTGAGGTTCTTTCTAGAGCATTGAATGCACTTTTTGAAGATCCTCATTATGTGGGGGTATGGGATGCCAAAGTGGAGTGCCAATCTTAATCACTTAGCATTTGCTGATGACATAATTATTTTTTCTTCTTCTAATGGCGATTCTTCAGAGAAAATTATGTCGATTCTGCATGATTATGAGAAACAATCAGGTTAGAAGATTAACAAGGACAAGAGCTCTTATTACTTTCACCAGAATACAGCAGCAGCCACTGCAAATCAAATGGCGCAAATCATAGGGATGGTAAGAGGGTATTTTCCTATGAAATACTTAGGGTATCCTATTACTCATGCTAGAAAGAGAAAGGAGCATTATTCTGAATTATTTCACAAAATTAAAGGAAGATTGTAGAGTTGGAAAGGTAGAATGTTGTCATATGGTGGTAATGAAGTCCTCCTTACAAGTATTCTGCAAAGCATTCCCATTTAGGTACTTTCTGCTATTACTCCCCCAATGTGTGTAATACAAGAAATTCATAGAATCTTTGCAAAATTCTTTGGGAGTAATAAGGAAGATAGCAAAAGTAAACATTGGGCGAAATGGGTGGATGTGTGTCTTCCTAAAAGTGAAGGGATTCTGGGATTCAGGTCGATGTTTGATGTATCAAAATCTATGTGTGCAAATATTTGGTGAATGTTTAGAACTCATAATACAATAAGGTCTAATTTCATGTGGACTAAGTATTGTAGAAAGCAAATTACGACACTTATTCAATTGAAAAGAGGATCCCAAATATGGAAGCACATGCTGGAAAATAGGGACATACTGGAAAAACACATGTGGTGGGAACCTAGAGCAGGCAACTCTACTATATGGTATGATAATTGGTCCTGGTTGGGTCCTTTACATCTTCATGAATCTGATGTGCACACATGCTATCCAATGAAAGATACTGTGGAAGGTTTGAAGGAGGGGGGATGGGATTATGCTTTAATGAGAGATTTTGTTCCTGAATATGTAGTGGATCATGTTCAAGCCAATTTAAATTCTTCTTATCTCAGTAATCATAATGAAAAAGTGTGGTGGATAGAAACCAGTAAAGGTATTTTCACAGTTAAATCGGCATGTGGACTTTTAAGGCACAAGAAAGACATAAATGAAGACTTGATAAAGTTGTGGATAAAAGGAATTCCTTTCAAAATCTCATTCTTGGTTTGGAGAATTTGGTTTAGAAAGATTCCCGTGGCATCTCTAATGCATAGATGGAATTCAAATATTTCAAAAGAGTGTAGATGTTCTGATAATCCTGTAGAAGAGACTGTAGAGCATCTCTTTCTTGATGGAGAAGTTGCTACAAGAATATGGAATGACTTTAGATCTGCATCTTGAATTTTGGATCCTATGTTGAATCTGAAACAATCTATAAGGTTGTGGTGGGATGTAGATGGAAATTATAGAGTGAAATTGGTGTGTCAGGCTATCCCTAACATCATTTTATGGTTTTTGTGGAAAAGGAGGAACATTATCTTGCATGGATGTGTATTTTCAGAAGCTAGAGTTATTTGGGGCATAACAGATACAATTTTAAAATTTATTCATGCTAGATTTAATGTGAACTGTAGCAGCAATTCATGGCCCCATATAATAGCCGAAATGGAGCATTATAGACCTAGTTCAGCGGTATTTTGTATTAGGGATCATGATGGTAATTTGATTTCAAACTTCCAGACATGACAAATATGGTAGCAGAAGCTATAGCTATAAGGGAGAGTCTAATTTATTGTAGTGAACATGGTATTGAACATGTTATTCTTGAGACAGACTCTTTAACAATGGTTCATATCTTAGAGGGTTAATGGAATGTACCATGGAGTGTAGCACTCGAAGTTAATGACATCAGAAGGTTGAAAGGGGTGGTTTCAGCAAGAGTAAAGCATTTCTTTCGGGAAGGAAATACTCTTGCTGATTTTATTACTAATCTAGTTTTCTCTTTAGCAGGTGATTTTCAAATTAATTGTTTTCAGGATATACCTAGCGAGGGAAGAAAGCTACTCAATCTAGATAAGCAAGGCACACCATACATAAGGAGACAAATACAAGAATAAAAATAACAGTAACCTCAAAATTCAAGACCTTTTCAGGTTATGTAGAGTATAGTTAAGCTAATTCTTGAAGTAAATTCAATAGATTTGTGTACTTACACATGGTGAGAGCTTGGGGTGACCATCAGTACCAAATCAAAGTATTAGCTTCTTGCGAATCTGCAAAAATCAATAAAGGGATGTTGCATATAAATTTTCTTATTCATAGTGGTAGTATTAACTAATTAGAGACTCTAATAGTGGTATCAATTCCATTGGGATTCAACCCATTGAGCCTTTGAAAGGTTATTATTACTATGGTGAAATGGAGAAGAGGCTCAAATACTTTACTGTTAATTTATAAAGTTCTAATCTGCAATGTTTAAATGAGATTTATGCGGAATAGCAACTCAAAATTAGACAATAGGCGTATGAATTGGATCAATCTTGAAGAATCAGATATCAAATTACCTGGAAGCTTGTTGGATTCTGAACTTGAAGGTCACCCATTGGGGGAAGTTCTTGGATTGTGTCTCCATTCATGGGATTGAATCTACATTCTTGGAGTTTCCATCGATAATGAAGGGGGATGATGAACTGATAGAAGGCTTCTTGAAGTTTCCTTTTTTACTGATGGATGAGTTTTTGTCCATTTGTCTTTGATGCATTTTTCTTTTATTTTTTTTGGCATTATTTTCTTTGGATTAAGCCTCCTCTGTTGGGCTGAATCTTATTTGTTTTTAATAAAAAGTGGCTATGCCACAGCCTTTAAACTAAAAAAAATAAAAAAATATACATATACTCTTATAGTATTATTGACTAATGAGTAATTTTTTGAGAAAAGATATAAATTCCACTTTGAACTTGTATCGAAAAGTCACTTACACGCTTAAACTATCATGATGACCTATTACACACATTTACTATTCAAAAGTGAATTTATTTACCCCTTAAAACTGACGTAGAAAAATTACACACCTTTACTATTCAAAAGTGATTTTTTATATTGATTTAGAATCAGTTAAGCGAAATTATCAGCCTTAATGATACCAATACAATATATATTACTAATTTCGCATAAGTTAAGCTAAAGTTATCAACCTTAATGAATGAGGTCATGGGCGGTAAAAGTTATCAGCCTTAATGAATTGGGGTAGGGCGGTAATTTTTTTTAAGTGAATGAGTATTTCTTGAATTACTTTGGATTAGAATATGAACATGTAATTATTTTGATTTTTATGGCCCATTTACGTAGTTTTTTAGGTCAAACAATGGGCCCATTCCAAATCCATGTCATTTTTTCTTGAGCAACTTTCACATATAGCGAGCATAAAAATCATATTTATATGTTGTAGCTATAGTTTGCATAATTGTGCTCCATAGCAAATTTTTTGTTTGCTATGGAGCTTTTGATTTGTATAATTTGCTAGATACATCCAAGTTTATGTAAATTGTTCAGTTTTGTATAAATTCATTTATACATTGTAATTTGTATAATAAGATCTGTATTTGTATAATTATAAGTGTATAAGATGAAAATATAAGTATTTGTATTTGTATATTACACTTTTCTCTCATTTTATACAAACATAAACACATTTTATACATTTGTATACCGAATGAGTAATTGTATACTGAAAATGGCTAGTTAAATATTGAACCAGATTGCAAGAAAATGGGATGTTTGCTGGGAATTACAAATAAAATAAACTATGACTATATCATTTAATTTGAATTAATAGTTTGTTATTTCATACAATTTTTCCTTTTTTCTTTCTTGAGATAAAACAAAACGAAAAAAAATCCTAGAAAATAAATTTCCAATTAATTACATCATAAAGGAAAATGCCGCTCCAGGGACCTGCTCATCTACCTCAGCTAGCAAACTCCTATCGTCCACCGTCCACCGGTCCACAGTCCGAAGTCTACAGACACGCTGAGAAGAGACACTGATTAGCACACACTTCTTCGTTTTGTGTTTTAGATTTATTCCAACTCCTTTGCAGCAACTAGCTAGTGCTCCAAATCGCTCCAACGCCTTTGGTCTGATTACAATAGGTATTTATCTCCGTCGTCGCTTTTACCTTACTGATTCAATTATTTTGGTAAAAAATACCTACTATATCTAAATAAATATAGATTTAAACTGAATTCTATTTTTATGTTTTTGGTGTAATCAACTATTCTCTAACGACAATGCATCTAGAATTGAACTTTAGAGTCGATATAGAGTGAAAAAAAAAGTAGAAAGGGAGACATTTGTATACATGGTTTTAGTAAAACCCGTTACTGTTTTTTGAGATATTACAAAGTTACCTATTTCAAAAATATTATATATGTCAAGTAATCAAAGAAGTGCTATTTTTCATTTATCTTTAAATTCCACTCAATTCTATTACTATGCAACTTCAATGCATTAAATACGAGATACTGTTAGTTGGGATTCATGGTAATCTCATAACATATTTACATAATATGAATACATTGAATACATTAAATGAGGGTGACAAATGTGCACCACTATAAATGGAGATATTAGTTATGCAAAGATTGTAATCCGTGTTAACTTTTGTGCACCTCGACTAATTTCACCGGATACGTGCCACCTCCCACAATCCACAAGCAACAAGTACCTGGTAACTTTGTTTACCAAAGATAGGAAATATGAGAATAATCACTTAGTGTTTTTTGTCTCCGCTGAGTTTTTAACTTGAAACTCATAGTTTTCAACCACTTCATTGACCACGAGGCCACACCCTTGGGTACATGCGGTCATTAATAATTTAAAAATTGTTGTACATGAATTACTTATTTTAATGGAGTGGTCTTGCATTTAAGTACTTAATACATACATCGCTAATTTAGTAATTGAGTTTAAACAAATAAAAGCCATAATAGGAATGAGTCGAATTTGAAAATGTACATTCCAAGGGCACCCAAGGCTGTGGAATTAAACAAACATATTAAACACTTTTTTTGAGAAATGTAACACTGATATTTATAGAACACTTTTGTAGCATCACGTTAGTGTTGTAGGGAATGACACACTAAAGTGTAATAAAGGAAGATGATTGATTTGGCATTTGCACTATAAAATTAGAAGTTTCTGTCTAAACTTCATGGCTACTAATTAGTATTTTATATTTGTCTCAGATGCTTGTGATCGTTGTGGAGAAATGATTTTAGTGCAAAAATGTGGTGTTAATTTTGAAGGCAATGAGGTCTCAGAAAAAAGTTGTTTATCTTTTCGGCTATTCTCTTTGTGCTTGTTTAGCATGCCCATTCTCCTTCTGTTTTCTAAGCTAAATTAATTCGGAAGTTTTCACTTATTGTTGACATTATATATTCCATGGTTTATTAATAGATTACTACCTATTCAGGTATGCGGAGAACAAAGTGAATCTGTGATCTCAGGCATTGATTTTTTGCATCTCCATATTTGCCTGTATAGGATATCTGTAGTTCATCTTGTATTCTTAAGATACTTAGAACAAAACTTTGAAGAACTTAGTAAGAAACAACAAAGTTTAAATAACATTTTCAGAACAAGAAAATTAAAACTAGTAGAAAAAAAAAATACAATTAGAAACTAATTAGAAACAATATACGAAATATTTTTCTTAAAGAAGAAAATCGAGCCCACTGAATGCACAGTGTCCCCTTAAGGAAATTATTCCCCTCAAGTACCCGAAGTTAATGGAATATATTCTCCCAGGATAGAATGATCTTACTTACCGGTGTATCGGAACCTAAAACCGCGGTGTCAGCGAACCACTCAACTGCAGTAAAGTACACTTAGAATACTAGATTTAGTAGTAGTAGAAAATGTCCAGAAAAATTAGTTCTCCTAAAATGAGAGGAAATCCCTCAATTTATAGAAAACATAGGGTAGTGTGAAAAGGTTCTTATTTTGCCTTACCGGAAAGGTCACAAACCTTTGGGAAAGTCACAATCTTTCGGAAAGGTCTATCAAGAAATTCCGGAGTCTTTCAACTTATTCACCGGCCTTATCTAGAGAACCTAGTTCAGAGATCATTGTAGAGCTAGCGATACATGTCCTTTTGAAAGATTTCCAAGAGACTGCTCCTCCACCAAGAGTAAATACACATCCACTCGTGGATTTTACTTAATTTGATCCCGGTGATCCAATTTGCATCACTCTATCATTTCAATACTACTGGATATTGTTATAATGTAGACATAGTTTTGAGTATGTTTTAAATACCCCAAAACTCTTTTCATTGTCATCCAATGAGTTTGATTGGGATTACTCGTGACCGACTCAGTTTACTAATAGCACTTACCATATCTGATCGCGTACACTTCTTGATATACATCATACTTCCCAATACTCTAGCACAATCCAATTGTGAGTCACTTTCGCCTTCACTCATTTGAAATGCAAAGCTCACATTTATTGGAGTTTTGACAATATTGAAATACCAAATATTTGAACTAGTCAAGTACCTTTTTTGATGCAGTGAGACTGTGACAATGCTAAACATTATGGAGTTCTAAGGATTCTTACACCTAAGATTGCACCAACAACTCCAAGATCTTTCATATCAAACTTGCTTTCTAGCATACATTTAGTACCATTTATGTCATTAGTGTCTCTACTGATGATCAACATGTCATCAATATGCAAACAAACAATGATCGTGTGATTTTTAATGTAAACACATTTATCGCTTCCATCATTCTTAAATCCATTTGCCAACATGGTGTGGTCAAATTTCTTATGTCATTGTTTGGGTGCTTGTTTTAGTCCATAAAGTGACTTAACAAGTTTGCACACTTTCTTTTCTTTATCAGGAACCACAAAACCCTCGGGTTGTTCCATTTAAATTTCTTCCTCCAATTCTCTATTTATGAAAATTAGTTTCACATTCATTTGATGAATTTGGAGGTCATATACCGCAACTAATGCAATTAACATCCGAATGAATGTAATTCTAGTTCATGGCGAGTATATGTCGACAAAATTAAAACCTTATTTTTGTCTACAACCTTTGACAAAAAGTATTGCTTTGTATTTGTCAATAGTTCCACCGACTTTCATTTTCCTTCTGAAGATTCACTTTGAACCCAAAGGTTTATTTTCTAGAAGAACAGCAATTAACTTCCAATATGGTTGCTCAAGATTGAATCAATCTCACTATTGACACCATCTTTCCAAAAGGATGAGTCTAGAGAAGACACAAGAAATGTTACAAAATCATATTCGAAGGAAGTAGATATCCTTTGACATTTACTATGCCTCTGAATCTCTTTATTAAGTACATTCTCCTTTTTTCTTTCCAAGGTCTTTTAGACCCTTCACTAGACTACTCAAGTCTAATTTTACAGTCCACAGTCATAGGTCCTATTTTAATCCTTTTAGGAATAGGAACTTGGACTTTAGCTAGACACCTCCACACTTTGAAATATTTCAAGTTGGAATTCCTTCCTTTCCATTTCTCATATGGAATAGATTGTGTCCTGAACAAAAATAACTTTTTATTGCTTTCTTTCTGAAAAGACAATTTTTTGTTGTTGTTCCATTTTGCTTCAAGGATAGCTTCTCCACGCAAGTTTTGTGGTAAACCTGAACTTACAAGTAATGTAGCCATCATTTCCACAAAAGTTTGATTTTTTTTTT